TTCAAATTCGAAATAAATGATAAGTTTTTATGGGTGTGATTTTTACTTTAAAATTAATTAGTATTTATAATATTACTTTAATTATTTGGATCACAATTTTGTTACATTTTACGTTTTTTGGTGCACTCGTCGTTTATTCTTGTATGAAATTACAGAGCTGCAGTGAAAATCTACTTATGCAATTTATATATGTGACATTCTGTAAATAGTTTAAAATACAATTTGAAGAAAATTGTTCATCCAACTAATCAACTAAATAATGATTAAATTTTGTCATACTGGAAATCGAATTTAAATTTCTTTTTAATAATTTATTGAAAACATGCAAAATATATGAAATTATAACTTGTTGAAGAAGATCGACAAATCGCTATAACTAGTGGATTTTGATATTTATAAACAGCAAGAAATAAATCATTATGGAATTTTCATCAAATTAGATAAATTAATGCAAGTACATTATTAATAATATACTGCTAGATATCCATACTATACTTAGTGAAGTAGATATTAATATTATTTCAGAAATGTATTTGTATGGTATATCAGTGATAGATATAATATATGATTTGAATATAAAAAAAAAAAAAAAACAGATGGAATATTGTTTAAGTATTATTCACAGGTAGCTAATTTATCATGTTTTAATTATCATGGATAAATTGAAGTAATATTTTTTAAAAATACTATCAATGTAAATTATATATATATATTATTAAATGTATTTTTTTAAATGTGGTAAATTATTAAAATTAAATTACTTTTTTCGTGTATGAAAGTTGGTAATTAAATACCTTGTAAAATTATTTTTAAATTAAAATATTATAATTTATAACTAATTAAGTGTACATAAAATAGTATACCAAATTATATTAATAAATTATAGAAAAAGTATACATCGAAATAAGCAAAACCAAAAATATACTGTCTGATTTTTCTCTATATATTTTTTGACTATTTTAGATTTTATTATGACAACGTATTATTAATGTATTATTGTGTTATATATTTAAAGGACCCGACTTTATAACATTATTTATATGTGCTATACCAAATATGGTCTTAAAATTTAGAAATTAAGAAAAAACAATGTTTTATTTAATAAATAGATTTTATTATAATGAGAAAAAGACACAAAAATCTAAAAATATGCAACATAAGTTTCAAATAATATAAATTCATTAATGTATATACTATAAGAACATAGTGGGTTACTGTGTTATTTTCTTATGTTCTACAATAACATATAAATGCTATAAAATCTGAGCTTTGATTATTAATTACCCCTTTCACCATATTCATTTTAAGGTTACTAAATGATTTTTTTTTTAATTTTAAAATAATAAACAGTGCGAATATTATTCCATTTTTCGAATCATTCAGGGATATCCTAAATATCAATTATAATCAGTAAAACTGTCTATCATAAAGCTAATCCTTTATTTTATCAAGATATTACTAAATAAAGGATAATTTTAGCTATTAATATATTTAATTGTAGGTATGATTTATCATATGATTCATTATTATTCAGTTGCATAATCTTATTGAGACAAGGTTATATGCAAGGTTTTCCTGAAAAAGTTGAGAAAACTAGTATACGTCTCTGGAGTGACCAAATGATGAATTTTTTGAATTTTTTTTTCTATCTTCAAAATCTGGGTTAAATATAATTTGTTGTTCTACTTATTTTTAGAACATTATTTCAAATCTAAAATTTAATACTTGTGAGATAGTTTTCAACGATCGTTTTCAAATTAAAAATTCATTGTCAAGTATATACAAAGTCAATAAAATCATGACTGAGTATAAAAAAATAAAAATGTATTTAGGTATATTAAATTTATCGATTTTGTAAATACCTGACGTTGAATTTTTAATTTGAAGCCGGTCGTATTTTACAAATATAACAATACTCCAGTTTAAACTTTTATTTATTTATATATAAACTACTTGTTTATTTATTTTTCTATCAATATACGATTAATAACCATTTAATAATTTTTTATTTTAATTTAATTTTTATTATTTTATGAAACATTATTATTGTTTTTTTTACAACCAGAAATCACATACGCTTAAGAAGTGGGAGTAGGATTAAGATTTAATATGTATTTAAATACAAATATTATCATTTAAAGGATAAGAAGTTTTAAATTTTTTCGAATAAATACTGAATTGGGAAGCACCCATTTCGCCCAAATTTTGTTATTATAAGATCCCCGTTTCACTCAGACTATTTTCAATAAATTTAAAATGGCAATGGGTCAGTAAAATATTATATTTTATCGAACAACAAATAGAAATAGTGCTTATTTGGTCCCGAAAAGACGATTGTTAAAAAACATATAATAATTTTAGTCAAAATAAATTTAATTTATATATAAAAATATATAAAATTGATTGCATCTAAGTGATAACGCATAAAAAATCCAGTCATTATCGAATATAGGTCGAGCAAAACCTGTAAAGCGCAAACCGAAATATTATTTATAAATATTGTGTAAATTTGATTTTTTAATAATACGTTTTAATAAATATTGTGAACTAAATTTTAAATTTGTTAAATGTACCATTTTTTTGAATTGAAGAACATTTTTTTTTAGAGATCAAAGAATATCGCTTTCTCTTGGTATTCTCTAGGTAACGCTAAATGATACAAAAAATTACAATATTATATAATTTAAAATAATTATTGCCAAATTAGTTTTATATTTTAACTTGACTGAGTAAAACGGGAATCTTAAAAAAGCAAAATTTGGGGGATATGTGTACATGGGCGAAACGGGCTACGATCACAGGATTGATGTTTGCGGAACAAATTACGATTATTTTTTTAAATTCACTACGTGATTGTCTCTATACAAGGAACTTTTGGATGGGTAGCTTTTGTCTTTGCTGCACTCGGAAGTAAGGTGAACGTCACCACATATGGGACAGCGTAGATGGTGACCGCAAATCTGTCGATTATGGCCATCGTAGGCCTGGCAATTGTGGCATTGATGTGGGTCCCGATTGAATTTGTACGTATTTTCGATTTTAATCAGAGTATAGAATAAATATGAGATATTAAATTCGTCGTCGTATTTTCGGTGAATTTAAAATTCACATAAAAGAGTGGTAACGCAACATTTAAATACATTTGAGATTTTTGTGATTGTATGACCGAGGGTGGACAAAGTTCGAGAAATATTGTAGTATTGTATGTAGTATTGATGTACGTCGAATTGTTAAGATTTTTAATTACAACCAAAAATGGTTGTGGGTGTGATAGAAAAAATGAGTGGAACTCAAAACACGTTCCCTTCAAAATGGTAATGACTGCTTTGAAACTTCCTTGATCTTTGGGGCTATTTGTATTTGTTTGGTTTAACTTTAAGATCGATTAGTACAAGTAATCCATATGATTTTCACAGGTGTGTAGAGTTAATTTGAAAACTAATTTCAAAATAATAAAAAAACTATGCTATGTGTTGTTTGAAATGTGAAGGTGATTATTATTTTGTATGTTATACATCTATTTAGCCTTTAGAATGGAATACATTATATAATGAAAAATTATAATGATATTTTTGATCACTAAAATTGTTTATTTTCAATCAAATTAATTAAAGTTTTATTGTTATAAAAAGATAGTTGTTTGAAAAAAAATATTTATAAAAACAAAAGATAATGAACTCATCTGCAGGTTCACGTTGACGAATTTGATCGAGGTAATTGGCGTGATAATAAATAAAAAATATAAAATATAAGAAATTATTAATTATAAAATATTTTCACAATCGATTAAACTTTCAACTAATAATATGGAAACTGCACATCAACTTTTACATCGTGAGGTATCCAACAGCGTAAAGATCATAAAATAATATAATTATGAAAAGTCCACTAAACCTTTTTCGAAAAATAGTTCAAATACACCATGGGGTATTTGGTAAGTTCAAAGATAAATAGCGTGATAAAATAATTAACAATAAATAATTTTTATCTTTTTCAAGTTTTTATATTTATTAGATCCATAAAGTCCAATTGGTAATATTATTATTTTTTTATTTTTATTTTTGTTCAATATGAAAAAGAAATTTTTAATTTAAATTAATTTTGCATTAATTTTTCCGTTTAAATAGAATTTGACAAAGTCGACCCAAAACTAACTGAAACCGAGAAATTTTAACTTGAATATTTTTAATTAAATGAATTATGATTTAAGAAACAATGCTCTATTATTATATTATAAAATATGATAACGTATTTCAATTCACTTTTATAGTTATACATAATACATAATATGTATACCTACGTAGATTTTTTAAATTTTATTTTATTCATGCATACATTTCAAATTTAATGTGCATAGTGATTAATTGCTTGGTTTTTTATAAAAATGTATATAATAATCAAAGCTTTAATGCTTAAGTATTTTTAAAATGTATTCATATTTACATTTTAAAACTCTAAAATATTAATTATAACTTAATTTTTAAAAAGTAAATTTGTGCTCATTAATATTAATTTGAACGAATATTTCATTTTTGTGTTTACAGTAAATTATACTAAAAATTGGAATTTTTAACTTAGAAGACGTAATCTTCAATTTAAAATTTTTTTTAAATTTATTATTATCTCTTAAAAATTAGTTTTTTTTGGTACAACTCGCTAGTATACACCAATATTTAGTATTCAGTAAATAATATATTATAAATGCATTTGACATTCTGTACAAATAATGATAAAGGTTTAAAATACTGAAAATTTATTTGATAGATTTAAGTAAACACCTTTTAAAAATATGCTGTTTTAGATTTAAACCGATTATAGTATCACAATTTTAATTTTAATCGGTTAATATTTAATATTATATTAGTCGAAATAATAAAAATAAAAATGTTTTTACTGAATTAATGAACTGCTAAAAATTGTATTATTTTTTTTTTTTTGTAAGGTAATAAATGTTTTACTATACATTAATTAAAAAATTATTTAACAATTATTGCACTCACATTATTTCGAGAGTTCACATCTAATGGTTCTTTGATTACCCTTTGTACAGCTTCTGGATCATTTTTTATGACAGCTTCATGTAGTAAGAGCTCATTTTTAAGAACTGTAATTGAAAAATACATAAAATGATTAGTATAATAATGTTATTTTAATTATATATTTTTATATATTAAAATACATAAAACGAATTTGATTTTATATACATTAATGTCAAATCAATTCTCACATGAAACAAATTATAAGTATGTATATTTTCTATTTAATGAAATGACATGCTTTATTTGTAAACCAAACGGTTTTTTTTTGCTTTAATTCTATAAAAGACGTACAGTTGATTTTTAACAATTTGTCTTGAATTTCGGTTTCAATGAGATAAATATTTTTATCAAATATGAAAAAATATTTATTTTTTGACTTTCAAAGTATTTATCATATTTTGAGTGATATTATGGACATAAATATGGAATAATATTTATTATCATGGATTTAACATCAAAAGTAAGTGTCTACTTAAAATTTATATAGTTTTAATTTTTGATTTTTACTGTAAATATAAAATATCAGTAACAATATATTGTACTTCTGTGGTTTTTACTATTTTGTTAAAACTTAATATGTAAACGATTGAATTATTATTATTTTTTTTTTTTTGTTAATATAAAGGTTAATTTTTTTTTTTAATTATTTAAAGATATCTACGAGAAACTTCATATCAAATTTTTAACACATTTGTCAAACTAAATTTATTTTATCGACACTTTGGAAAATATGTCAACAAAAATATGGAAACTTCAATTTTCTATTAATTGCTAATTTTTGTTAAAAACTATGCCATAGATAGCAAACTGGGTTATAAGCAATGTTATGTTTAAGTTAGATAAATATTTAGTTATCTTTTATTTTATCTAGATAATAAGTTGCGCGTTACCTAAATAATTATCTTAGGTATCTAGGCAAATTATCTAGGTAAATGTATCTACATAAATTGGTCTAATTACGTCTAATTCGTCAATAATTACAAAACAATATATTTTCTATTATTTAATTTGGATATATTATTTTATTTTCATGCAGCCTGTGATGCAACACTCAAATAAAAAGTAAATGTTATTGTTATGTTGGTAAATAAATGGAAAAGTAGTTATAATTAGTCAAAATGATTTGTGAGTTACCAAATCTATCCTATTTAATTGCGTCCTTTATTATTATTTTTAACTTCATATAAAGTATAATTGTATTTATTGTATGTATAATATACATGAAATAACAAATGCGAATAGGGCGCTTGTGGCAACACTGCGATGTTCTTAGAGGTCAAAAATCGCGACACACTGAAGGCACGATGGCATGGAGCATTATCATGATGAAGGGTCCACGTTTTGGCAATCTCTGGACGGACTCTAATGACTCGTTTTCGCAGCCGATCGAGTACTTTCAAGTAAAAATGTTGGTTGACGGTCTGCCCAGGTGGTACGAACTCTTTGTGCACGATCCCTTTGCTGTCAAAGAAACAAATCATCATCGTTTTCACTTTTGATTTGCTCATTCTCGCCTTCTTCGGTCTGGCTGCACCAGGAGACAGCCACTGTTGACTTTGTCGTTTTGTTTCGGGATCGTACTGAAAATACCAACTTTCATCACCAGTAATAACACGATCGAGAAGAGTTGGATCAGCTTCAACCTGTTCCAGACAATCCTGTGAAATGGACATTCGCACGTGTTTTTGCTCCGCCGAAAGGTTCTTCGGTACCATCTTGGCACACAGTTTTTTCATGGACAAATCATCAGTTAAAATTTTTTCTAACGGTTTCTCGTTTCAAATTAAGTTCATCAGCCAATATTCGAACGGTT